CGCGTTTTTCCTGAGTCCAGACCCGTGATCTGGACATATACGTCCATCGAATGTCTCTTCCTTTCGGCCTGGTAGTCGCGCAATTCCTGCGCCAGTCTGCCGGGCTGCGGGCCCTTCTGTTTCTCGGCCGCCAATTTCCTCTGGACGGCATCTGGCACCCTGGTGCGTTTGGGTGTTTCTGGAACCTTGATTTCGGCAGATTCCTTAGGCGCTTCCTCCTTTTTCAAGGATTGAGCCTCCGGAGCGATGCTCCCCTTTTCGGTCTTTGTTGACGTGGTTCCTTCTCCACGAGCCATAAATATGTATGAATCCAAAATTAATTTATCTGCAGCTTTCTGATCCTTTTTACTTTGTAAATACTCTCTATTTAAAGCTATTTTTCTTTGGCGTTCTTTTTCCATATCAGCAATGAGAAAATCGTGAATATTCGTACGTAGTGAGTCCGAGATTGTATATGTATGTGTAGAATCGTTCATGTCTTTAATTGAAACAAGTACAGAAAAACGTCCATAGTCCGGACGCTCCACCTCCTTGGCTAGAGGAGTGGAGCGTTTCAAAAACCCTTCTCGCGCAGCTTCTCGGCAATCTCCTTGAGGAACTCGTTGTCCTTGTCCCCGTTCTCGATCTCTTCAAGCATCGTGGCCCGATTGAAGAATGTGCGCTTCTTTCTTGGTTCCGGGCAGTTCCGCGCAATGTGCCCCGGCTGCTGACAGTTGTAGCAGATGATATTGCGGCCGCGGGCGTGGGTACGATCGATTTCCATTGGAACCGGTTCGTTGGCAGCGGGTCGGGCCGGAGCGGGTGCGGGCGCCACTGGTGCCGCTTGGGGACGGAACTGGGGAGGTGGTCGTTGTGTGGGGTGCCCATACGACGCTTTGCGCAGCTGGTCACGCAGAGCATTGGCTTCGATGTTGATGCACCAGGCTTTGAACGCTCCATAGGCCTTGGGCAGAGGGACACCGGTGTTGTAGAGACGGCTGGCGATCTCGCTGCTGAGTCCGCGCTCCAGGAACTCGATGAGGATATTATCCTGGTCCCCCTTCTTGTATTCGCCTTTGTCGTTGGTGGTGTCGACCACATTGTAGCCTGCATCCGCGGCCAACATCTCAAAGTCGGAGATGTAGTCCGCGAAGGACCGTTTGTTTTGGCGCAGGGCCATAAGCCGAGCAGCGGCGACTTGTTCCGCATTGGAGTCCCCGAACGCCCTCTGAAACTCCTCCAGGAAGTTCTTTGATGTGACTCCTGCCTTCAGTCCCTGGAAGCCCTCGAAGTTGTGCTGCTTCCAGTTCATTGCCCATCTCGAGGCAGCGCAGCTCGTGCCGTTCTCGTTACGGAGGTAGGAGAGGACAAAGAGGATTTTGGTCTCATCCTGCGAGAACTCCGATCGATAGGCACCGATGTAAGTGGTGCACGCGTCCACAAAGCCCAGGTATTTGGACTTGTCGCCATCGAAGTAGGGGGGATTGGCGGCGAGGGTGATGCGGTGATGCCCTGACATGGTAGGGGCAGGCGTGTGAGGTGGGGGCGAGGGTGGTTGTTCGGAGGGCAGTTCGTCGAGGTCGGGGATCTCGTCTTCAGGCGGTGGGAGGGCAAGGTAGGGGTTGGAGGGCCCGGGTTGGTTTTGATGCGCCAGATCGGGCGACGATGGTATGATGGGGGGAGGGGACGGACTCCCAGACGACGATGGGAATCGGTACGAAATGGTGGAATCGTGTGCTGTACAAGCACTCGAGGGAGGGTTCTTTTGCTAGCAAAAAGATCCCGGGCCTAACTCTTCACGTGCCCGATGATCCCGAGGTGCGTTTTCCCGAAGGTCTCCGCAGCACTCCTTGTAGCTACCGTAAGGCTTGGGTCGGGCTCAACGTTACCCGTGGCCTGGTGCTGTTTGCTTGAGATGAACCCTTCACTGCGATAGTGGAGGACGACTAGATGATTCGGTAAAAGGGTGAGTGGGGTGATAAGGTTTTAAGAGGATATAGCGGGCGTAGCGGTGCGGGATGCAGGGTAAGAGGTATGAGGTAGGAGGGTATGAGGGGAGTCTTCGAATTATGTGACAATCGACCAAAAATAAAGCCGAAAAGAGAAGTGAATTCGAAGACTGGAGAATACAACCAAATAGCTACAGTATTTATACCCAAGTCCAGTCTGAGTCATATCTACAACTAATGAGTCATAGGGCTATGTACCGCATGGAACACTGGTCATGGGTTGTAGTAGAACCTTCCGGAGCATATGTCGCGCAGCCTCGAATCGATAGAGATAACCCCTGGAACCCCTAGCCCGGACCGTCTGATGCCGTGATCCGTGATAAGATAAGTCGTGCCAAGATAAGATAAGATCGTCGATGATAAGATGAAAAAGAGTCGAATTATGACATGTTGTCCTGATCCCCCTTCTTGTACTTGCCCCTGTCATTGGTGGAGGTGACCACGTTGTACCCCGCGTCCGCAGCCAGCATCTCAAAGTCCGAGATATCCTCCGCAAAGGAGCATCTATTCTGGCGCAGAGCCATGAGTTGAGCGGCAACTTGCACCGCGTTGGAGTCCCCAAAGGCCCTCTGAAGTTCCTCCAAGAAGGTTGCCGAGGTGACCCCAGCCTTTATTCCATTAAAGCTTTCGAAGTTGCGCTGTTTCCAGTTCATTGCCCATCTCGAGGCGTTGCGGAGGTACGAGAGGATGAAGAGGATATTTGTCTCATCCTGGGAGAATTCCGACCGATAGGCACTGATATAGGTGGTGCACGAGTCCACAAAGCCCTCATATTTGGACTTGTCCCCATCAAATTAGGGGGGGTTGGCAGCGAGGGTGATGGGGTGATGTCCTGACATGGTACAAGCAGGCTTGGTAGGTGGGGGTGAAGGTGGTTGTTCGGAGGGTAGCTTGTCAAGGTCGGGGATCTTGTCTTCAGGCGGCGGGAGGGCGAGGTAGGGATTGGAGGGCCCTGGTTGGTTTTGATATGCCAGATCGGGCGATGATGGTAGGATGAGAGGAGGAGACGGACTCCCAGACAACGATGGGAATTGGAACAAAATGGTAAGCACTCAAGTGAGGGTTCTTTTGCTAGCAAAAAGATCCCGGGCCTAGCTCTTCACATGCCCGATGATCCCAAGGTGCATTTTCCCAAAGGTCTCCGCAGCACTCCTTGTAGCTACTGTAAGGCTTGGGTCGGGCTCAACGTTACCCGTGGCCTGGTGCTGTTTGCTCGAGATAAACCCTTCACTGCAATCGCAGGGAACAACTAGATGATTTGGTAAAAGGGTGAGTTGGTTGATAAGGGTTCAAGAGGATATAGCGTGCATAGCGGTGAGGGATGCAGTGGTAAGAGGTATGAGGTAGGAGGGTATGAGAGGAGTCTTCAAATTATGTGACAATCAACCCGAAAACAAAGTTGAAAAGAGGAGTGAATTCGAAGACTGGAGAATACAACCAAGTAGCTACAGTATTTATACCCAAATCCAGTCTGAGTCATATCTACAACTAATGAGTCATAAGGCTATGTACCGCATGGAGCACTGGTCATGGGTTGTAGTAGAACCTTCTGGAGCATATGTTGTGCAGCCTTGAATCAATAAAAATAATCCCTAGACCCCTAGCCTGGACCGTCAGATGCTGTGATCCATGATAAGATAATCTGTGCCGAGATAAGATAAGATGGTCAATGATAAGATGAAAAAGTGGTCGAACTATGACAATCCCCCTCTGTGCTCAGACTCATGTGAGGTTGTTGTGTGCTGTGTGCTCTCTTCCTTTGGGCTGGCAGGAGTTGCCTTTACACATCTACTCTCATGTAGCTGTATGGCAGATATACTGTCCGGAAAATCAATACTTCCTAGTACATTGTCCGGAAAATCCACATCTGAAACTGTCAGTGGAATAAATTCTCTTGAAATGTGTATTTGTCCTTTATTTGGTCAAGCCTCCTGTGTGACCAGATCATCCAATTACACTGACATTTTGGGAATGTGCTATTCCTAGGTAGTGCTTGCTGCCTGAGTATAAGAATAACAATTTGAGTAGCTGGTTTTCTCCCTGACTGCTCCCTGCTTTCTTTCTTTGTCTTTATTTGGTCAAGCCTCCTGTGTGACCAGGTCACCCAATTACACTGAAATTTTGGGAATGTGCTATTCCTAGGTAGTGCTTGCTGCCTGAGTTCAAGAATAATAGTCTGAGTAGCTGGAATTTTGTGACAAAGTCACTGATAGTCGGAAGTTTCCGCTGCTCAACGCTCTTAAACATAGGAAGATTTTTCACAAAATGTATTTTCTGGACACTATATCACCCAAATAGCTATATACGCCATGCAGGCTGTTGCAGACAATATTGCGCAGTGGAGAAACAACCAGTAGCAATCACCTATAGAGACAGAGTTCCAGCGAGTGTAGAAGACACAGAGCTGAGGATATGGAGCATATAGTACTAGGTTTATATACCCGTCTGGAGAAGATATCATGATGTCATAGTGGAGTAGTGATATCATAGATGAGTAATGGATGACACAATAATGAGGTCAGATATGAGGTCATTGTGGAGCGAGCCAAAGTAATCTAAAGATACTACATATGATGTCATGTCTACATACTGTGATAGTCGCTAATACAAACAAGCTTCAACACAGGCCTCCACTCTGACTGAAAGTGAAGGGCCTAAGGTGCATATTGAAAAGCACGTGCACCGCAGTTCGGGGTCGATCAGTCAAAAGCTTTCGATCAATCTCACTTGCACTCAGTAACAAGCACGGCCTTCCGGGCCTCCATAGATTTGGGCTTTGTGGCAAATCAGAAAGTCGTGGTGGAGACCATTTTCACAAACAAAGGCCAAGTAAGGCAAGGCACCCTCACTTGTTTGCAACCCTGTGACAAGTACACGGAGATTATGTGCAAAATCAATCTCCTCCTGTAGTTGTATGGGCTATTCAATGCCGCGCTGTCTTATGTGACACATTGGGTCTGCAACTTCGGGGCGGACTTGACCGTTCCCACTCTCCATTTTGTCGATGCTGCTATGGCACTTGCGCATAAACCAGTTGCAGGTGGCAGCGTTGTGAATGCAACCACATTGGCAAAGTCATACCTACTCAAGGAGCACATCTCCACATCACCCGGAGAGAAATTCAAGAAGTTTGTTCACAGCAGCAAAGCGGTTCCTGCCCTTGCACCCCAAGATCCCAATTTCTACATTCCAGAATTCCTGTGTTTTACTCAGCACTTCCAGTACACCAAGATGGGAGGGCTGGTAATTCTTTCAGATCTCCAGGGTGCGTCGCAGTCAAATCTACATATATATCTTTATTTCTGAACAAGCTCTCAGGATCATCGACCCTCTTGATAGATGCACAGATCATACCCTTCTCGTAAGTGCGACTACATTAAATACGGTTCGACTTCATTAAATCCGGTTGTGATACCGCTTACACATCCTCAAAGCACGAAAAACGTCACTCTCATTCATTGTGACACCTGATATCGAGTGTGAATGACATACTGTAATGTTTACTTCGAAGGAGAAGAAAGTTGAAACTCTAATGATGCCAAATTGCCGGGTTGGAGTTGATGAAGCTGATTTGCTCTGCAGGGAATCAAAATCATATGATCAATCAGTGTGAGCGAACCACTTACCCTCGCGGAAACTGTCGGGGATCATCGTCAAATTGTTCCCGTTGAGCTGGATGATATCCTGTAGCAATCGAATTCATGAGATCCAAGATCTGTCAAGAGCTCAATTGTTTACCTTCGCTGTCGGGGTGAATTGTTTCCATTCAGGACGCTGGGAGCCAATTCCGTCGTTCGGGGTGAGACTCGTTGCGAAAGAGATCCAGTAGTCCATCATCACACGGCTGAGAAGCACTGCCGAGGGCGTTGTATCGTTCAGCCCGCCCAAGACGTAGTTGATCTCGGATGAGTGCTCGACTGAGCAGCGGGGTCTGATTCGAGCGCTGCCTTCCATTATAGAGAATGAAAACACTCACCACCGAGTCGTGGATCAAGTTGCGGCTGCGGCTGGGTGAAGAGGTAGCCGTAGGTGGGTACACTCGCATTGGCTGCTGCGTTGATCCAGAACCGCCGCTGAGAGTGGAAATCCACATCTCCATCTGGAAAAAATCAGTACGAAACTATTACGAGATTGATTCGGCGGTACGACATACCGATCGATGCATAGCGCTTATACTGGCTACTCAACCCGAAGGTCTCGTTCCCAGTCCCATACGGCGATTCTAAAGTTGGAAAAGGAGATTGGCGTGCTGGACAGTCAAAACGGAATGAACCCACGGATCGAAGGATCATCTGGATAGAGTTCGAGCATTCTCTGGATCGTAGCTTGGAGCTCTGCAGGAGAAGCCGCAGGAGAGCGCCCGGCAATTATGGTAGCGTTAATTTCGGCAGAGGAATTTATCAGTGTCGAAGTGAACAACGTCCCTAAGTGCGGATGAGCGAACGCGGTGGAACAGGTGTTGTAATTTCAACCGACCCTCGTCCAGGTTAGTCCCTGCGATAAAGGGAATCTTGGCGAATTTGCCTTTCAGCAAAAGATTGGAAGGAAGATCGGGGATCAGACCACCCGGACCGTCGATTGCCGGGTCCCAGGGGGCGTTCTCGGGCGCATGCGACATAGTGTAGAGGAAGGCATTCAGCATTTCTGTTGTGTTGGCGTTTCTGAGACACGAAAACGTCGAATTGGTGCCTGCAAGAGAGGCGCAAGAAGGGACGGCCCCAACGAAAAGGGTCCAGACATTTTCTCGCCGAGCGGGTTCGAACATCCCTCCGCCTGACGACTGAGATCCCGACTCAAATATCTGTGACTCATTTGAATATTCTTTGAGACTTGGCGTAGGAGAGATTTGTATACCGCTGCCCGAACAAGTTTCTCCGTGTCGGGAGTCAAGAACTGTAGCGAAGTGATCATGCTTCCGGCACTCTCACCAAACGCGAGGACTTTGCGCTTGTCACCCCCGAACTTGCCGACATTCTTCTGAACCCATTCGAGAGCAGCACGCTGATCTCTGAGCCCAAGGTTCAGAGATCCTTCCTTCAGAGCTTCTGTTCCTTGAGGGAACCCGAGAGGCCCGACTCGGTAATTAAAATTGATATAGATGACCGGGGTTCCCTGTGACACGCATTAGTGACAATAAAATATTGGAATGAAATTATATCACTCTTTCCACGCTCTGGGCAACGAGAGCGCTGGCGTTGTAAAGCGCGGAGGCGCCCATGTCGAAACCACCGCCATATCTGCAAAGTGAGTGTTGGAAGCGATCTTATGATGCGATAGAAGGGACGCTCACGTCCAGAACATCTGTAGGACCACCATCAGCTCAATGTGCAGAAGCACCGTGCATGCCTAGCGAGGGAACATACCACAGGGAGTTTTGAGGTTGAATTGACACCGATGGGACGAATGATGTTGATCGTCAGACAGTCCTCCGAAATCGGGCTGTCGACGGGAAGGTTCTGGAGGCTGAACATAAGTACAAACTCAGCACCGACTGGTGTGCACTTACATGCGCGCCGCCTGGCAGAGCTTGGAGGCATGCTGGCCCCAATTGAGTAGCATTGAACGAGGGGCCGTTCAACGACGTCTTCAGAACCGTAGGCTTGAACCGAAGCTCGCCGATGGGCGGCTCGGCATACGGGATACCTATTATCATCTTCTTGAGTCACAGTTAAAACAGGCGCGATTGTGCAGCGCACCTGCGAAGAACTCTTGTCCAAAAGTCGGCAGGGTAGTTCCGATGACTGTCGTTTTTCCTAACTTGACTGACGGAGCGCCAGAGGCGCCGAGCGCGAAGAGAAGAAGAGTTGAGAGCATAGACGAAATCATAGTAGCAGCGGGAAGAGCAGCGGTGCGCTGACTTCCTTGGTGGGGCTGCACGGTATGTTGTGTTATGCTTATATACTTTGCTCCAAGGCGTGGGACAATGCTGAGGTCCCGTTGCCACCACGAATCGGCACCGCGCTCAGAATAGCACTGCGTTCAAGAATTTCGTGACTTGACGTCGCATGATGGGGTATGACAGGACAAGGATCACCTCGTACTATCTACGACCGAATGCATCTAACCGGCTGCTTTCCTCGTGATTCTTCCGCCGCCGAAGCCTCGGCCAACTCCCCGACAATTTCTTTGCACATCAAATGAGCTATATGTCAACTGTGCTCCGGAGTGGAATACATCTCAGTAGTCCGGGGGTGACCCGCGCGTCGTGTCACATGCATGTGAGCGACTTGTCCTTGGATCCGAGAGGCCAGCAGGCGGGCGTCAGTCCGACGCTTGCATGTCATAATGCACGTGAACTTGGGAGCTGCTACGATGTGCCGTTATCACCTAGTGAGGAAAGGGTCAGCTCAGATGGCGTATTTTTGGTTTAGGACCCAGTTGACAAGCCGTCACTATGAAATGAGTTACGCGATACTTCCCCACGGAGGAATGACCAAACTTGTAGGAGTGGGACTCGCCGCCAGTTCCACTGTGCTGAGCGAGTCCTACCAAACACACTCAAAAATTCCCATGACCTTGCATATCTCACTTTGAAATTTGTTCGAATCATTCTCTGCGATTTCTAACAGTTGTCGTTTAATGAAATAAGAAAGGCCTAAGCAGTGAGCGTGAAAACGAAGCCTCTGTGGCGCGCGGAACAATTAAGCCCAGCAGCGAACATCTCCAAGCCTCCTTGGCGAGCAGACAACCTTTGCGGCAGCAGCCGGGGGCTACATGAATTAGCCGCGTGACCTGCTGGGACCCGCTTGAGTCCCGCTGGACCAGATTCACATCCCCGCAGGTAAAACCAAGACTCCCGCGGGACCACCGCCGTTCCCGCTGGGACCACGGCTAGACATTGTTGAATATGATTTTGTTGTTGTGCATACACTCTCACCAATTCTTTACCATAGTGTAACGTGCTACATGAATTTGCCGTGGGACCCACTGGGGGCCGCTGGGCCGAACATCTCATGTGTAACTCCCTATTGACATACACACCGTAGCTATACTCGTTGTCATTGTTGAGGGCGGCAGTCTGTCAAAAAGTGGGGTCTGTTTTACTATATCAGACTCTATGCTTCTGTTTATAGAACGTGAAACAATGCTGCCGTCGTTGAGAACGGGACTTGGATTCTTCTGGGGTCCCGCGGAGAATTCTGTATGCCTGCAGCCGGGGCTTGGGGCAAGCAGCCCCAAGCGGGGCCAGGATGGAAACTGGCGCGCAAGCCGGTGCCCGGAATAGTCCCCAACTCTCTATCTTAGCTCAATGAATATACAACGGGCCAAAATAATAGCTTCGAACTAGATTATATTACAAGTTCTAGAATTCGACGTTTTAAGGTGTTTTCTCAAAATCATCGTTTAATTTAGAGCCCAATCTGCTCATCTGACCGCGTCATGTCTGCTGTTGCAGTGAGAGACAGAGCCGTGACTCTCTATGACTGAAAGCCATCATCGTTACCCAGTTTGCTGATCTCAGAACTTGAGGCTGGATTTTTTGAATAACTTTTTTTTCAAGGTCAAATTCAAGAGCTTCTACATACATAATATACTCTACTCAGTGATACTCATAAAATTATGATCTTGTCGGGCTCAATTGGCACAACAGCAAGCTCATCATGTGCGGGAATGATGCGTGTGATAACCATGAGATTGATCCAGTAGGACTCGCCTGGAGCTCGTTAGCGAGTCCCAGTCCTACAAGTCTCGTAAATACGCCTGCTCACGAGATCCCCACGATTAGCGGGCGGTTATCAGCGACCTGTCAATAGAACCGCCCTGCTGAACGTTTTGCCAAGGGAGGCGTGTGACCCGACTGTGCGAGACCCCATGGCTGGGCAAATCACCCACGGAAGCCCAAGCAGAGCAACGGGTCAAATGGACAATCCGTTTGCAGGCGGACAGGTCTACGTGGAATTTCAATGATCCCCTTTGCCCGCGTCTTCTTTTGTGAGACGGGCGCGGACGCGAGGGCTCACCAGATCTCGCTGTCCAAATTTGGGCACAAATGGCGCAGACCCCGCCACTCCAGATCCGGGACTCGATGTAGATACCAAAACTGCTGAGGTGCAGCAACCGGACAAGGTCAAAGAGTTGGGGATGTGGGGATAATCGCAGCCAACACAGAGGCTGTTGACTGCAACCTCAATCCCAAAGATGAAAGACCGCGATGCTTGAGCAGATTGTGGCGTCAAGCCAACGGTGATGGAGCCGCTTCGCGTTGCCTAACAACTTCGTGGGTCAAGGGACAAAATCGTGTAAAATGCCCGATGAAACAGGATATCGGGCAGACACAAAGACGTGAGAAAGGCCTGCTTCTTTGCAAGCTTCGGCCATTCGCCGAGGATGAATAATCGAAGATTCCTGACGGAAACTTGCCGAAAAACTATGGTCTGCCACGGGGCTGTCCTGGGACACCCCCAGCTTCGGCCGACTCTTAGGCGAAGGTCTGACCAAAATAAAACTCAGAAATGGTCGAGTAGCTAGTGTTGCCGCGGTTAGGTCCAGGACCTGAGGGGACGTGTCCGGAACCTGAACTGGACGCCAGTCCGGTTCGCCGAGATGCCCGAGGACCGAACGGGACCGATGGTTCGGTTCAAGGTCCGAGGCAACTCGTCAAAAGATGAACCTGTGCGGACCTGTTCGAACACGTCCGGACCTTGATAAAATTACATGATTAGATTCATGCTTTACACAACGGTTATTCTCGTGCTTTTCACCCTCATCATAGAAACACATTGTTCTTCACACACAGGCAAATTGTCTATCTTTCTCACTGATCATGTTCCTTTGGCCTAGTGCCTAGTGGGCGGTGATCCGTAGCTGATAAGCTTGATCCACATTCCAAATCAACTGCCATCGCTGATCCACGTTCCAAATCAACCGCCATCGCGCCCCCTTGGGCGCCGCACCCAAGATTTCCCAGCTATATTACTCTGTTTTTTCATTGATGCAGATTGCCAACGGAGATCATTACAAATGTTTGCGGAAAATGACGAGCTAATGTCTTCGTCATCGGGCTTGCGGTGGCTGGATTTAAGGTGCGTTTATCGAATGGACTACCCTCTGTACTTTCCATCTCATGGCAGACGAACAGTGCGCTGTAGGCCCTGACGGCCAGCTCCTTCCTGCTGACCAAATCACATTCTACAACGATGTTGACGACTCTGAGCCTGTCCTGCCTAGCGAACCAGTAGCACATTCTGCAAGTGTTCGGGGGAGGCCCAGGACCATTGCCGATCACTTTTATGCTCCTCGCCGGACTTCATCTCGCACCCGTAATGCCTCTGCGCGGGCTACATGAAAGTGCCGCGGAGTGCCGTTGGAGCGCCGCAAAACATTTGGAGTGCCACAGGCTCGAGCCTGGAGTGCCGCAGGATTTCTGTCACGCACCGCAGATGTCACGCTGGAGTGCCGCAGCAACCCACAAGGCAGAATACTTACATATTCATATTTTTACAACTTCATTGAAAACACTCAAGAAGAATGATTGCCAGGCCAAGGCATTGTCACCCGTGTTTCTGAGCAATGGTCCTCGCGGCGCTGATGTCCCATCAATGTGGTTTGATGGCTTTCTGAGCGGCCGTTTTTGCTCACTCTTGTGAGTCCACTTTGTTGCAGAGCCCAGAAAAAGGTCGAGGACGGTCTGTAAATCTGATTTATTTGTTTCTACAATAGTTAGAAGCATTCACCATTGCCCAAATGTCGAAACAATACAATACCTCATGGATTCAGCTTCACTAGAATGTGTATAACTCATTTTGTATCCATTTTGAACGTAAATCGTACCAAATAGGTGGTATTCCAAACCCTTGAGAGTGTTTTCGTGATGAAAAATGTTCTCTGTAATTTTAAGTCAAGTCCACCCTTCCGGTGGTCAACGAGCTCGAGACAATCACCTCCCAGGCATCATAGAGGCCTACAATCCAAAAACAGGCTTTCAGGACGTCTACATATTCAATTCTATTGAAATTCGACTAATTCATGTTAAAGTATTAGGGAGTGACTAGCGCAGACAGTGTTGGATGTGCCTGCGGCGCTCTCCAGAGAGTGGCTGTGCTTTGGAGTGCCGCAGAGATGTCACATGCGTCACACTGGAGTGCCGCAGACTCTTTTGGAGTGCCGCAGACTTGTTTGGAGTGTTGCCAGAGGTTCCGCAGGAGTGCCGCAGTGTGCTGTGGAGTCTTGTCATAGTTCAGCCACTTTTTTACCTTATCTTTGATGATCTTATCTTATCTCGGCATGGGCTATCTTATCACGGATCACGGCATCAGACGGTCCGGACTAGGGGTCTAGGGGTATCTTTATCGATTCAAGGCTGCGCGATATATGCTCCGGAAGGTTCTACTACAACCCATGACCAGTGCTCCATGCGGTACATAGCCTTATGACTCATTAGTTGTAGATATGACTCAGACTGGATTTGGGTATAAATACTGTAGCTACTTGGTTGTATTCTCCAGTCTTCGAATTCACTTCTCTTTTCGACTTTATTTTTGGGTTTATTGTCACATAATTTGAAGACTCCTCTCATACCCTCCTACCTCATACCTCTTACCACTGCATCCCTCACCGCTATGCACGCTATATCCTCTTAAACCCTATCACCCCACTCACCCTTTTACCGAATCATCTAGTCGTCCTCCACTATCGCAATGAAGGGTTCATATCGAGCAAACAGCACCAGGCCACGGGTAACGTTGAGCCCGACCCAAGCCTTACGGTAGCTACAAGGAGTGCTGCGGAGACCTTTGGGAAAACGCACCTCGGGATCATCGGGCACGTGAAGAGCTAGGCCCGGGATCTTTTTGCTAGCAAAAGAACCCTCCCTCGAGTGCTTGTACAGCACACAAATCCACCATTTTGTACCGATTCCCATCATCGTCTGG